TCTCTCTCTCTCTCTCTCTCTCTCTCTCTCTCTCACACACACACACACACACACACACACACACACGTTCTTCCAGCCTCAACAAAACTCCTTAGGAGACACTTCTGCGGGAGGAACCAGACCAGAGTCCCCAGTAGCGCACATCTCATCATTTCCAGCCCAGGGCCCAGAAGCAAAGCAACCTCCTTTCCTTAAGAGAAATGGGGCCGGCGCTTTGGGTCAAACTGAAGTTCCCTGAAAGGATACATGCCCTGGAGCTTTAGTCACTTCATCACCTGCCCCAGCTCACAGGTGTTCCCCCGCTAATAAGAAGAGTGAAGGCGCTTTGGGAGTGGAGAGCTGCGTAGAACTGCCTCTCAAGGTTTCCAAGCCAAGCACCCCACTCTCCGAGCCCTGCTGACCAGGCCACTGCCTTCTCTGGGTGCCGGAACCACCAGGTGCGTGTTGCATGGGAAGCTGATGACTCAGTTCTTGTCATCATCAGGGTAATAGTGAGGACCTGGGACCTGAAGAGAGACGCAGTCTGCCTAGGGCCAGGGTAATCTGGGGTCTTTCCACATGCGGGAAACCTACTCCCCTGTTGGGCAAGAAAATTTTCCAGCTCTAAATCCCAGCGCTGAGCCTGACACCGTGGATAATGCACTCCGATACTCAAGGCCCTCTCCCTTTCTCAGGTGGACCACACCCTCCCACGTCCCCTAACATGGAGAGCCCAGCTCTTGACTCATACAGCAAACGTGCTCCACATCAGCTGTGCCAGGAGCAGCCAGCGGTGCTTTTAGGACCTCAGTGGGGAGATGGGCAAGCCAGGAATATCCAGTTACAGGGCTCCGCTTCCTTCCTGAGGAGCTGGAAGTGGAGGATGGCCTGCCTTTCGTTAAGAGGCCTGAGGCCCAGCAAGGACTGCAGTGCGTGGCTGGCAAGGACCGCAGTAAAAGCCACTGGTGGCATTCCACACACACACACCCTCCCCGAAGAGGGACGAAAAAACCTGCTCTTGGAGCGCTCTAGTTGCCCAAGCCGCCAGGACAGTCTTGGATGCAATAGCGGCGCACCCTGGACTCTGACCGGCTTTGTCTGGCTCTCAGATGCGCAGGACGCGGGAGACCAGTTGCGACCGCAGGAACAGCGAGCGGAGCTCCCAGCCAACGTCAGGGTCGCAGAAGCAACTGGTGAAGATTCTGGAGTAAATAATTAATAATGTACGCACGAATTCGTTAAAAAAAAATTTACAACCCGTAACTCCTCCATGCATGTGCTCCTGAGCGGTTTACGTCCCCTTGAAATTTCCAAGTCCAGGTCAGATGCTGCTCTGAGTATAAGGAAAAAACTACAAGAGAGTGCAGCCCGCGCCAGGAGCCCCTAAGCTGAAAGTTAGCACGGCCTCGCCCACCTCCATGGAGCGAGAACGGAGGACCTAGTTTACTGTCACCAGGCAGCTGGACGTTTTGTCCTATCTTCCCTGAAGATGTCCACAGACAGTGATCTGGGAAGGAAGGGGTAACTTTTGTCCGTTTCCATTTGACAGATTTCCCCCCCAAAACACACACACACACACACACACACACACACACACACACACAGAGATCAGCCCCAGGCTTCTGGGTTCCAGTGAGTAGAGTTATTTCTACAAGTGTTTACTGTGAAACTAAAAATGTTGAAGGCCATCTTTGGCACTTGGGGAAACACTGGTATGGATTCCCATGTCATTGGTTAGAGAGTCCTCACTCAGAGAACTGAGAAACCACAGCTGGCCGTTCCTGTAAAAGCGAGAGACGCAAGGGGTGTAGTGTTTCAGTATATGGTGGAGGACCTCTGTGCATCTTGCTGGGTGACTTGGTGTTAGGGAGTCTAGAAGCAGTAGCAATAAGAACAAAAATAAGACGTTTGTCTGGGCTCCTGTAGATCACAGTGTCGCTAAGAGTAGACACCTTCATTTCCTTTTGTTTGATTCACCTTCTATGAGCCCCGTGTGACAGAGAAAACCATCCGTTGGGGTTTCTCAGGCCTTCGTGGTGCAGTGGTTAAAGCACTTGACTGCTAACCAAAAAAAAGGTCATCAGTTTGAACCTACAAGCTGCTCTTTGGGGAAAGGGCTGTAGTAATCTGTTTCCAGGAAGGTTTACAGCCTTGGAAAGCCATGGAGCAGTCCTACCCTTGTCCCACAAGGTGACTGGGTTACAAGCAATGCAAGGGCAGTGGGGAATCTGTACAGAAGCACAGCTCGTCTTCTCTCTTTCGCACAAAAACACTAGGCGGATTCAAATCACCAACTTTCAGATGAGAAGCTGAATGCTAGCTGTTGTGCCATGAGGGCTCCTTCATTTAATTTTAATGACCTGAGTTGTCAATGTTTTAAAACAAAAGGTGTTTGAGAATTTGATTGGAAAATCAGGTGGCTTTGTAAACCTTCACTCACATTACAGCAAAAAGAAAATGCACTGCACACACAATCCTTTTATTTTTTAAAAATTTTTCTTTAAAAAATTTTTTTTATTTTATTTTATTATTTTTTGTGTGTACCCTCAAATCGGATCTGACTGGTACAGGAGATTGTCCCTCCTTCTCCAGTAGAGCATCTGGTGGATTCGAACTGTGTACCTCTGGGATTGCAGGGCATCTTCTTGCCACTAGGCCACCAGAGCTCCCTAATCCTTTTATTTTTAAATAAAATTTTAATCTTATTCTGGTTTACTTACAAAGTTCACATACATTGTTTTCCACACCAGATCTTTCCCATTTCCTTTTCCCATCCCTCCCTCCACCCATCAAATTGTGTTACCCTGTGATTAACACCTCCATCCTCACCCCTCTGCCCCCCTCTTGGATCCTCATGCTCATTCTGCAATAATGTTCTCTTTTTATGTTTTTCTAAAAATTAAATTTTATTAGTTTTAATGAACATTTACAGAGATTTTGGGTTTTCATTCATTCATTGTTGCACTGTTTTCTCCACCCTCATCCCCAGTTTGTTCTTCTTCCCCCCCCATGTCTGTTTTAATTGTCCAATTGCCACAGTGCTTGTTAAAGCCAGTTCTGATTAATCTCCTTTGTCAGTGTGTCCCTTGCCATTCCCTATCACTCCTCCCTGAGAGAGACTTCACCCTGATTCACAAGGAAAAGGGGATGGCGTATTCTCTTAGCTACTTCCTGCTGAAAAGGGACGCTGTGGGTTTCAGGGTGAAGGTCTTCTCTCACTACTCTAAAGGGCCCCTTTGGCAGTAGGAAACACATAGACTATTATGGAGATTGATTTTGGAATTTAGATGCACTGTTATCAATTGTGCTTAGCCGTACATGTTCATATCCTTGAAGATGTATCATGGAAGTGTTGCAGCCTAGAAGATACAAATTTAACTAACAAGTTAAAAGTGCATGAGTCAAAAATTGAAAAGCAATAATATTCTGAGTAGAGGTTCTAATAGTGGCACAAATCAAGTTACAGAGGTAAGGTGGTTCCATTGCCATCCTTACTCTAACTTAATTCTTCTTTTTTAAATTTAAATTTGTTATTAATTTCAGTGAAAATTTACAGAGGCTTTGGATTTCCAGTCATTCATTGTTGTAGATTTGTCCCCTCCCAAGGCTCCCCCCACCAGACATTACCCTCTTGGAAAAGTAAAAGATTCTTTCATTATTTTACAAACCCTTCCCCAGGTCCCCTCTACCATGGAGCCATCGCTCTAGACTCCTGTGATGACAGAAATACCTAGTCACATATCTCTTTTAAACAGTTTTCTCCCTCCTCTGTTTCAGTGCAGTATACATTATTGAACCCATCTT